TGTGTGTGTGTGTGTGTGGTACCGATGTTGTCTTTCTCCTTGCAGGAGATGGAGTAGCAGCAGATCTCTCTGTCCTGGATGGCCGACAGATTCCTGAGTGTAAACACAATCAAAGATAAAGATACAGGAATGTCAACAATTACTCATTCATGCAGCAACAGTACCCAAACTCATTTTAAGAAACTCATTTTCCAGGAATTCTTTCTTAAAAACACAGGACAGCACTTGCTCACACTCATATAACTGACTGCTGGGACTAGTACAGACACATTCAACCTCAGAGCTTCTCCTGCAGACAGCCGAGTATCAAACTAAATAAGCACCCAGGTTTCTGTGGGGGCTAAAACATTTCCAGGATATTTGGTTGTTTAAATCCATTTTCAGGTGTTTCTATGACTGGAAAACTAGTCTCTACATGTCCAGGTTTTCCAGGACATTTGGGAATCCTGTGGATAATATAGAGACATGTCTGTTTCTCACACTTGAGTCCAAAGGGGGAGCTAGTGAATCACAGTGAGAGCAGCCACGTTACATGTTCAACACCAAAGCAACCACTTACTGAAAGCTAGCAGGAGGTAGCCCACATACCACGACACACGCAGCTCACATCCATGTAGCATGTGAGCTCTGTGCACTTTAGAAAGGTCAGAGTGAGCTTTGACTTACATCCTCTCTATGAGCTCCTTCTCATCCAGAGCTCCTGGTAGGTCCCTCTTATTGCCCAGAACCAGAACCTGAAGGAGACACACAGATGGGACAAACGTCAGAGAATATAACAGCTGTCAGTCACAGTGCGGCACGTTGCAGCTTCAAATAACATCCGTCACACCGTCTGATCACTCCGGGGCGACTGCAGCTTCAGTGAACACACAAAGATACCGATAACCGGTGCTGAAATAAAGAGAAAGTTTGGGTTTTTAGCAGCCATTATTTCCCCACTGTGGGCCCAGAAGTGTTGAGCATCCAAGTTTTCTGTTAGAAATGTTCAGTCTGGTTCTCCAGCATTCAGAAACTGTCAGATTCTAACATGCATATGTTGGACAATGAGCATAATCAGCTATATGGACAATATTTCAGTACCTGGTTGATTTGGACAATATAGGAGTGGGTTTAGGGGATTATTGAGGACGCTGAATCCTTTTCTGACATTTACAAAATACAAAATGGACGTTTCAACCAGAAGGGTCCACATTTCAACTCCCAGTGGGAAGATTTTGATTCATTTTGAGTCGATTTTGAGGTTATTTATATGCTTAATACACATCCACTGCAGCAAAGACACAGTTCAATAACAAAATGCTGCATAGCAGAAAAACACCAACAGAACTGAAGAAGAATTAAGTCTGAACATTCACACTAATGACACTGAGCTTTCTTGTATCCAAAATGCAGGTCCAATGTAATAATCATATAAATAACCTTTAAAATGAATGAAAATCAGCCCACTGGGAGTTGAAATGTGGAAACTTCTGGTTCAAACAGAGATGTTATGTTATGTAAATGTCAGAAAAGGATTCAGTATCTTCAATAACCCCCCAACCACTCCTGTATTGTCCATATCAGCCAAGCAGCTGCTGAAACATTGTCCACAGAGGTGTTATAGAGGAGACTAAAAGGATATAAAAGGTTTAAAGATAGAAAGCGCTGACGTTTGAAAACCGGCTGCACAGAAGCATTAAACTTTAAACACACTAGATCTGCCTTTTATCTCCTATACTTTTCTTTTAATGTTTCATTTTAACACAGTTTGCTTTCCCTGTTCACAGATGTGTGTTTGGTTGGTTTTCTGTTTGATCGATGTTTAATCTGATAGTTCAGCTCAGTTCAGCTGGCTCTGGTCCAGATTGTTCAGTCCGCTGCAGCTAACTCATTCTGGTTCACTCAGACCGACAGTCGCTCTCAAAAGAGCTACAAGCTTCAAGACAGCGTGTGGAAACATCTGCTCACTGTCGGAGGTTCTGAACGCACCCAACTGTTCTGTCTCATTAAAGGAAAGGTGTCTACTGACTCGCTCTGATGGGTTGTTAAATCTTAAATATTGGTTTAATATTGGTTGTGATCACTTCAGCTCTGTACAGTGTTTATCTCCTCGGGCTAACTGTGCCAGCGTCCGTTCACTCTGGTTAGTTCTGGCGTTCTTACAGGAATTCCCTGCAGCTGCGGTTTGTCCAGCAGGTTGTGGAGTTCGTTCTTGGAGGCTTCGATCTTCTCCGGGTCTGCTGCGTCCACCATGTAGCTGCGACAGAGAGAAAGAAACTGTGAACACATCTCATCGTCATTTCTATCAGAACACGCTCTGCATCACATCACGCTCTGTCCTGCGGAACTCGACCAAAAACCCCAACCGAGCCCATCAGGATCCCTTTTACTACATCTCCACTGTACTTTGGTGCTCTTTGTTACATAAATCTGCCTGTTTGCCCTGAAGCTTTCCTCTCCCGACTCACTAACACAACTGTGGTAATGTGACTCAACAAGACTACAGGACTGAATTCTGCATTCAGCTTCTTCCTGATGATCAAATTCTTTTTCTTTTCTTTTCTTTTCAAGACATTTAATGTGACTGAATCAAACTCTTGTCATCCAAACCCTTCAGATGTTACATTTAATGCTTCTTCCTGTGAGGATCGTGTCTGTTTGGTGGACAGAAGGAGCTGCTGGACAAACTTGCGTGACTATCCTCCGTCTCTCTGCTCTCATTAACGTCTCCTGTCGTGCTGAGACGTCCCAGCGACCCCCTTTAGGGGTCGGTAACCACAGTTTAGGAAACCGGGACTTACACGATGGCGCTGACTCCTCGACAGTAACGCTCCCACATGCTCCTGAACCGAGGCTGACCACCAATGTCCCACAACTGCAGACACAGGGAGACGGTTAGTGAGCGTCTCAACATAAAGAGAGAGATTAAAAATGAAGAAATACAACAGAAACTGCGGACTTTTATCTTTGTTATGATTCAAATAACACATTTGTGTTTGCTTGTCTGTATGTGCGGGGTAAAAAAACACTGTGGATGTCATTTCTGCCTCGTTATTCCCTAAATATTTTCTATAATTGATATTTTATGAACAGTTAAAGGTAATGAGGTCACCAAAGGCTCTTGGGGGGTCGCGAGGCCTTCTGGGTGTTAAGGGGCGCATCAGAAAAGTTTGAATTTAAAACCAACAAGCTGAAAGAACGACGGTCAAGTGTCAAAGAAGAAACCTATGAAATCTGTATGACTGTTAATAAATAAACACATATTTTATTGTATAAAAACGTCCCTGAAACAATCAATAAAACTGATCTCTGATCAATAATCACAGGAAATAATCTGCTCAGAACTCAAACTTCCTGCAGTTGTTTTAATGGTTGAGTTCATCAGCTGTTATTACTGAATCTAATATAAAATATCCTTTAAATGTGACAGTTAAAGGTCTCAGTGATTCTTTCTGAGGATCCATAACTGACTGATTACAACTATAAATAACTCGCTGTGTGTCTGTGTGTGTGTG